AAGTGGAGAGTGAAGTCTGGTTTTCCTGCCAAAAAAGTCATAATAAAATAGCAGCGGGGACCAAGATTTCAATTCAGTTCTAGAAAATATACTGGACTTCAGGGCAGAATAAAATACACAATAATTTGGTTTTTTTCCCCACTGGACAAGTATTAGCTTCAGGAGGTGATTCTGAATCAGAGAAAATCACAGGGGGAAAGGGTTAACATCCCTTTCCATGTGCCATGGCCCCAATCCAAATGCCTGCACATCACTTTTTTTGGCAAACATTATAAATCTTGGACCTCAATCTCCTATATCCTACCTAATTTCACCCTAAATCAAAGCGAGCAACAATGCTGAGGAAATTTATCAGTTGTATGGAAAGTACTTTTTTGAAGGTTCTAATTCCTGAATGAAGTATAAACTGACCCATGCTGGATATATGAGTGTGCAGGCAGTTTGGAATCCAAATAATTCCTTTCCTTTTGAATAATTAAAGAAGACTTTGGCCACCAAGGAGTTAATTAATAAGAGCAGGAATCAAAGCACGTGGATGTTGGCATAAGGCAGTGAGCCACAAAAGATGGAGAGCTTGGGAAAGAAATAATCCATAAAACTGAACCAAAAAGCCACATTCTTATGCAAAACCAGACTTCCTGTTCCCATCCCACTTTCCTCCCTTTTGACAGAAAGTCCTTGAAAGAATGTCTGGCCCAACAATAGAAAGGTGCTAACGCCCTATACATAGTCACTTATTTCTGTGCCCTTTGCTGAAGTACTAAATGCCCACTGGGGCTGTTTCCCATTGCCAAAAACACAAGGTCAATATGAATGTTTGAAAAGCTTGGTCTGAGCATTCAACGAGGGTTTCTAAAGCTGTGAAAGAGGGTTTTTTTTTTAAAAGGGAGGCAGAAAAAAACTTTTTCAGTACCTTGGAAATCGTGTCAATAGCACAACAGCACCAGGAGCAGCAAATGAAACTGTTCTAACAAATACAAAATCAATTTGCAACATTGTACACTGTACAAAACAAAAGCAAAACAATAATGACAATGTTGTTATTGTTGATCATTTCTATGATAAATCAAATGGACAGGAAGATGCAGAAGGGGAATAAAGTGAAGAATGATGGCCATGATTTGGTAAATCAAGGTCTAGCCCAATTTCTTCTAGACTATCAAAATGCCTACAATCTGAATACTGGTTTGTTATTCCAACATCTTTTTGCCTCTCTTTTCAGAAGGCCATAGAACATATTCAAAAGGGGCTGAAAGTAGAACAGTTCTAATTATCCTCCCTGTGATCTTCCTTTTTGCTCTCCTGCATTGACAGGTAGCTTGTCCAGAGGCTCTTCTAGAAAGGCTCTTTTGAGACTGCTGCCTTCAGAGGTGCATTTGGTGGTGACCAAGGAGAGGACCTTTTCAGTGGCCACGTTTGTGTTCTGCAATTCCTTCCCAAGGGAAACTCAGTTCACTCCTTCTCTGTTGTCTTTCCAGTGGCGAACAAAATCTACTTTCTTCAGGAATGCCTTTGGTCTTTAACTGGGTCTGTTGGATTAGACGCTCTTTTTATTCTACAATTTATTATATTTTACTGTATTATTATGTGTTATTATTTTAATCTATTTTAAATGGTTTTTGTAAGCTTCCCTGAGTACATTTTTGGTAGAAATAAATAACTCTTGAAACTCTGTCTAGATACCAACTGAGTGAGAAACTGCAGTTGTACATCACTGCTATAGGCTAACATTTAGCAGACCTAATCACATCTTCCTTAGAATACTTCACCAAGCATTCTTCATTAGTCTGAGATACTTAATGAAGCTAAACAAGTATTTATCCCATTCTGTGTACAAGTGAAACACTAATTTCAGGAAGAAATGCATCTTAATTAGGGCTGCTCTGCCCACTCAAAATATATTTACTTTAATCCGTCTTAGTAATGCCTTTTTCAAACTCTCCATCACGTGTTTTCAAATACGTTTTCCAATTTAAATGTTATTTGGAACACTTGGTACTTCACTGGGATATTTAGTGATTTTAACACCTTATTAGTAGTTTCTCTAATTACCAATTACATTTTTCTAATGTTAATCAACACAAGTTTATTTATTCCATTCAATTTATATGTAGTCCCATTAGCCATAGGCTGTCTGGGCAGCTTACAATACAAGTTCAGATATTATCTTGCATAGTATTTGTTGTTGTTGTTAGTCACAAAGTTGTGTCCGGCCCATCGCAACCCCATGGACAACATTCCTCCAGGCCTTCCTGTCCTCCACCATCTCCCAGAGTCCACTTATTTATTTATTTAAACCATTTTTATGCCGCCCCATTCGCAAAAAGCCTCGGGGTGCCTTACAACATCAATAAATAAACACGAATAAACAGCCATATAATCAGACTTAAAAAACCGGAAACATCTCGGCATGTACATAAAAACCCAATAAATACAATTCATAAATTAACAATTAAAATAACTTTTAAATAAAAAGGTCTTGGCCTGGTGCCGAAAAACAAATAATGACGGCGCCAGGTGGACCTCTCTGGGGAGCGCATTCCATAGGTGGGGCGCCACTGCAAAGAAGGCCCTCCTCCGGGTACTCACCCTCCTAATATCTTTCATGGAGGGTTCCCAAAGAAGGGCCTCTGCTGCCAATCTTAAGGGGTGGGAGGGCATATATGGATGCAAGCGTTCCTTTAGATAAGCTCACGCCAACATAAGCTCATACCAATTGCTTCAGTATACTTAGGGACAATTCCTTGATGGCAGTGATCGGCCAAGATAATTTGAGGCATGCAGTAGAAAATCCAAATGGTCTTCCCCACTAGGATAGTAAGAATGTAATGAAACTAGACCATTCACTATTTGCTCCTCTTCAATGGCATCCCCAAAATTTCCTGTCTTAAGCAGTCTTCTTCACCTGGCTAATGGTAAGCAGCCCTGCTTCTTGGAGCAGAAGGAAAAATGAAGAAAGAAGTACAACCAACACAGCATATTCTGTCTGTGTTTTTCATAAGCCACAATTAAACATCCAGCTGCTGCCTGCCACTGTGCAGAACCCCAGCATCCAGACTAAGATAACGTTGACAAATACTTTAACAGTGGAGGGACCAATTCTATGGACTCTAGACAGCATCTAAAGAGCCAGCAGATATCTCACATTCCCAGATCTGAGGTCAAAGCCAGTACTCCAACCCCCTCCACCTTGCAACCAGCATAGTTTGGAAAGCAACCTCAGCGGGGTGGGGAGGGAAGGGGGGCATTTTGGAGAAAAGGGAGGAGACTAAAATGCCAGGATAAAGCCATGCTGATGGTCTTCTAGGTTCCTTCCCTCTCCCTCTGAAATTCTAATTCTGCCTGTATTTTATTGATATTTTGTTTTAATATGTGGAAATTGGTTTTATTGTGTTTTATCTTGTGTTTGTGAGCCACTAAAAGGTGCTGTGGCATGATTGGGAGGCATACAAATGTGATGGATGGATGGATGGATGAGATGAGATGAGATGAGATGAGATGAGATGAGATGAGATGAGAAAAAGCCAGTCTAGCAAAAGCTGGTCTCCATTGCTGCTGCTCCTCCTCTGCACAATATGTCTGAAAGCTTCAGAGGCCAGGGGCTAATGGGAATCATGATAGGACTGCACACTAAGTTTTTCATTTTATGTAAAATTTTCCAATACAGCTCATAGGATAATTACACATAGAATATTGCCAGCATGGTATGTTACACATGTCAAAAGACTGATGGTTTGAATGTTATAGTGTAGCTATGTGCTAAAGGCACACATAGGTAGAATCATTGTTTTTTCACTCAAGTCCTATGTCGTTCTTTATTTATCACATTTGTATGCCACCCTATAGCCAGAGGATATGTGGCTCACAGCTCAATATTTTTTTAAATAGTGTTTGCTTTTCTTAGCACCATTTTCCTTTTCACAATGTAGGAAGTCCTTTCCAGAAAAACTGTTTATCTTTTGCTAATACACTGCATGTTAGCTTGACTGTTAAGCTGCTTTAGTTAAATTGCTCTTGCATTATCTACAATTGTCAAAGTAAAACTTCTGCTTTGCTTCCACTTCATCTTGTGTTTTTACTATAAAACATCTACTGGAAATGTTCCCTGTTATTACAGTAAAGAAGTAGGTGGATTTTCATTTACTATCAGATGCAGAACAGCAAGATTGTGAGGCTCTCAGCTTAGCCTTCTATTTTTTAATATGACAGAAACAGAAACTAAGTCAGTGAGAAGTTCTTTGTCATCATATATACATTTCCCTACACATGCATGCACACCCCCAGTACAAAGAGACTCCAATACATTTGTTCAAATCCAAGTTTGGTATTTTTCTGTGCAGACAATTCCAATTTAACTTAACTCAAACTTGTGACATCATTAAGCAGGAAATACAAGGCATTGCAACTTGCAAGCCAAGGTTTAACCATTTCTCTTGCTGTCCTTCCCTCTTAGGAATAGTATGCACCATTTTGGTTTTTCAAACAGCTGAACAATCTTTCTGTCACTCAAAACACCCAGTAGGTTCTGCTTTGTGAACTGGTTTCTTATGTTCTAGCTGCATTAAAGCCTATATACCAACACAGCCTTATGAACAACATTTCAGTAGTATTTCAGGTTGTAATACCCTGCAATCTGGGGGCGCCGAAGAGCAGTGGATTGTAGGAAAGACAGCACACAAAGAGAGCTGCTGTTGGGTTATTTGAGGGTTATTTCCCCTTCCAACAAGCCATGCTGCCAAGGTTCAAATGACAAAACAAGCTGTACCCCAAGGTGGGTGATTAGGCAAATAGTGCTCAACATGCACAGTTCATTGACAGAAGCCACAGAGGCCCATATAACTCCTGGTGATCATGCAAACTATATTGCAAAGTGTCTGTAGACAAAAGGAGCAATTGACTTGACCTAAAATATCCTTAAGTTAACTCATCTTCTGGCATGCCTGGATTCTTTTGAGCAACCACTCTTCCGCCCAGGGGCACAACTGGTAAAATTTCCTTACCTGCTTTGCAGGTCTTGCCATCTTCTTGAAGATGGACTCCAGTGGGGCAGTTGCAGCTGTAAAACGGATCTCTTGGGGACAACAGGCACAAATGGGAGCAGCCACCATTATTATCCTCACAAGGTGTGTGAACTTGAGAAATAAGAGAAAAGAGTAAAGCAATTTGCATAGCTTTATAAAATGTACAGAAAGCACAATTCCCTAGAGTGAACTAAAGAGCCTTCTTCCTTCCTAAAAGTCCAAGCAGTCAAGCACTGCAGTATCCAGTTATGAACCTTATTTAAATAAATTATATATCTATACTTACTACATTTTATAGAGCAATACCATTTCAATACAAAAGGCTGCAAAGTGAGACAAAAAGTGTTTATGGATGAGACTTTCATTTGCAATTGTCTTGGCTCTTTGATGAAATTTAATGTCCAGTCTTCAACTTGTGACCCCCCCCCAATTATTTCCCTACTTCCTCTTTCATCTTTTTTTTACTTCCCCAAGGAAAAATAATATTAAGGAGGAAAAGAGCAAATTGTTGCATAATGTCTTTGATTGTTAGCACTAGGAACATTTGGCGATACCCTTAGGCCAATCATAATGGAAGCAATTCATATAATATTTTTCCCCTGAAAAGGGTCCCTTTTAGCATCTGCGCAATTGCTTTAACTTGAAACATAGTTTGGAAGTAGTTTGGAAATCTTGGTACCAAAATTTGTCAAAAGGAAACTGCTGCTGGTATAGTTTCCCTTTCAAGAATGCACGTTCCAAATTTCCAAACTCCTTTTAAACTTGTAGGAAGCAGCTTGGGGCTTCCATAGAGCAGCTCATAAAAAGTGTAAAAAACCCCCCATTAAGGTACATGCAGATGCTGTGCATTTCCTGCTAATTTGGAACACAGCCTCAGACTACAAACCACTTACACCTGTCCATTTGTTTTAATGGGATCATACAGCATATTACAGAGTACACTCTTTTGTTTCTTCACCATCATGCTTTTAACTTTTTCTCAGATCAGTTGTTTTCTACTCAATAATGTTGGTTTTTAACTTGAAGCTGTGTCTTAATCACATCCAAAACATGTTTAGGTCATATAAAATACAATGACCTGATACACACATCATAGCAAACTGTGGGTTGTTGAGAAGATAAGCAGGAGGGAGTGTGCATCCCAGTTCCCACATGCCCACCTACTCCTGCTATAAACAATCTATTGACACTTTGTTCTTGACTGGGACATCTGAATCCAGAACTCTGGGTTGTTGCAGATGAACAACTGAGACTCTGAACACACGGAACTAAGATAATACAATCCTAGACACAAATCTTGAAAAACACTCCAACATAGGTCTAATTTCATGCCAGCACCATTGAATTTTAGACTGAACACTCCCAAAGTTGCACATATTAGCATCATGCATAAATTCCATTGCGGCCATGCATATAGTCAGTCTATCTCAGCCTTTCCCAACCTTGTGTCTTCCAATCACATTAAGACTGTAACATCCAGAATTCCCAGTCAATGACCCTGCTGAATAGAAATTCTGAGAGCTGAGGTCCAAATGCCTCTAAAGGCCACCAGGTAGGGGAAGGCTGGTCTACTTCATATCCACACCCAAGCATTTAAAGGTTTGTTTCATTTTGTTTCAACAGTCTTGGAAATATTCTGGTTGGATTATGACATCAAAAAGAAAGGCATCCAACAATACAAAAGGAGCAATAATTCAGGAGCACTCGGCAACTCATTCTTAGATTGTCATTGGATACATGGGCCAGAATCAGATCAACAATATATAACAACTTGGGGGAAGTCGGAATTCAAATCCAATCCTATTCAAGAGACAGTGGTATCTGAGCTATTTCTATCTGATAGTATTTCCCTGTGCACAGGTTTTCCTTGCTACTGTCCAGAAATACTGTGACCCAAGGGTGGGACATTCTCTCAGCTGAGAGAAATGCCAGGAATTCAGAGAGCACCACACAACCCCATCTGGAACGCAAGGACAAACTGTAGCAGTGCACTTACCCAGTGCTTTCTACTGAAGCGCTGCACCTGTTTCTCAGCTACAGCAGATCCTAAATTCCTTTGTTTACTCCATGACTGTTTACTGTCAACCTTTCCTGCCTTTTTGAAGTACAGGAATCACCATGCATAAAGACCAAATCTTTCAGATTTGTTAAATGCTAGACCTAACACCAGGTGGTTACTAAAATGAGACAATATTCATCCCTGGGATAAATCATAAGTTAGTTGCATATCTTTCCAACCTTTAGCATCCTCAAGCTACAATTTTCTAACAATGTATAAGCTGCTGTACATAATTTCCAGGGTGTATAATCTGTTCCAGTTTTTCTCCAGAACTTCCATGATAAAAATAGAAGCTTCCTCCGTGTGGAATAAGAAGAGAAAATCATCTCCAAAGTAATACACAAACCAAATTTGTTCTTCCTGCTGCAAAGATTGTCAACAGCCATTGTGACAATCAAGCATAATTTACAACATTAGCGAGATGCTTAAAAAACAACCTCCACCACCCAGCAGAGGATGGGAACCAATTCTGTAGAATTACTTGCTTAAAACTATTTTAAATAATGATATAGGCAATATTATGAACTTCCACAATTAATTATTGATAAAAGGCTGTCTAGCTGAGATGGCAATGGTGCTTAGAGACCTAAATGAAAAAGTTACGTTTATTTGGCACTACTTTCTAGCACAAACTCTACTTGTACTAGGAATCACATGCATCAACAATTAATGACGATCTCATCTAAAGACCTGGAAATCATTCAACTGTTCTGCTCCAATACACTGTTTATAAGTCTATGGCAACCAAGTAATAATTAGTCATCATATCTTGTAAAACTGTACTTTCAGAATTTGACTTCCAAGCTTCTCACCTCTACACCATTATGAAGCATTAACCTATCATGCAATTTTGCACTTCTGCATCATAGCAGTTTTACAAATGGCAATTCAAGAAAATGTAAAACCTCTGCCTGCAAAATCCCATTGAAACATCCCAAACTGATGAGGTCTGAAACATCCCAGACTGAAACATCCCAGACATCAGAAGCAGATCAGTTCAGAGATCAAGACTGCAAGGGATAAGAAATCGGGAGATGATATGCTGTGTACTGGGGAAATTCTGCTTGTTTACATATTTGTAAACAAGGTGACAGTAAAACACTTTTCCACTGAGGAAAAGTCCAGGACTTTAGCTGATTACGTATTCAGCTAAATTGCAGTCTAACGTGCCATTCGTAATGCCTGCTATCATTGCAGTAATGGAAAAAGTGTGTCTGTTTTCCCTTTGAAGTTCACATTTGCCTTGTTCTTCCAAAGGCCCAGATTTAACACCACACATAACCATAAATATATAGATGCAAATAAATGTAGGAAACATACAATACGGTTGCCTTTCAGGGCTCAAAACCTGGATGTCCATTGGTGAGTAAAGCGAACTTAGCATCTCTCTCCTTTTTTCTCCAGTCCTTTTGTTGCAGGCATGAATGGAGCGAGTCTGCCAATCTGTCCAGTACAGGGTATCTCCAGCTAGCGTCAGGGCGAATGGATGAGTGAGACTACCTTCCACAACCTTTTGCCTAGAGTTACAAGAAAAAGGTGTTTTACAGGTGATTTATACAATAACCATTTCAGAGTTAATACCTAAAGCCAAGATGCAAGCTCCTTAAAAGCTTAAGCCGGGATTTAAATAAAAGCACACTGACTTCCATAAACAGCAGCAGCCAACCCCACTCAAATCCCTTCAACTGAATAATCTCAAAGAAAAACATACAGGGTCTGCAAGAAACAGTTAGGGCTTCAGGAAACATCTATCTGTAACAATGTGCCTTCAATTCCCAGCTGTTACCTTTGTCTGAATGATATTTTGCACCACTGACTAGTTCTGGCTGATGTGTTTTCTGAGGGGAGCACTCCTTAATTTTGCTACAGCAAGTTTAATCTACTATATACAGAATACAAATCACTCTGGCATGCCATCAAGCCAGTAACACAGGCAAGTGAAAGTGGAAATATCTGCAACACAGAGAATGTATTTGCTTAAAGCTGAATTTATTTAGCACTATTAGAGCTAAAGGACACTCAAAATTGCACATAGTTTATTTATATCTTCCATTTCTCTCCAAAGTAATTTAAAGTCCGCAGTACAATATAAAAAAGAAATAAATTAAATTATTTGTGCTATGCACAAAATATAAACATGAGCTGCACAGTGTTTAACCACCAAATCCAGGAAAGAGATTATTAGTTGGGACAGCATAGCCGTAATATTTATCATAAGTGACAGCAACACAAATCAGGAGAAGCAGATTGGAGTTCTGAAGCCAATTTTCTTATATAGTACGTGGCTAATACCCTGGCTCAATGGAGTGGCCAGGCTCTGTGTGGAGGCAGTGGTGGGCGGCAGCGGGAAGATACAGTTCCCATAATACTTACCTGAAACCTGAGAAATTACTTGGGTGCTTAAGGGTAGGAGATGAGTTCACGTTTGGGTGAAAGGTTTAGACCCTGACTGACAAATATGCTATTTGCATTTTTATACTGCAGTATAGAAATAACATTCTATACATGGCAATATGAATGTAAAAAACAAACCTAAGCCCCCAAAATGTTTTCCTCATTAAAACAGCAACCATGAATAATAAAGCAGAACAGAATTTCTGGGGGGGGGGTTGTTTTTTGGTCAAAATGTGTTGTACAAACCTGACAAGCATGAATTATGAAAGAGTTAATCAGACCATGCCAGGTTGGGTTCATAAGACACTATAATGCACAAGAAGGATTGCATATTCAAATGGGGGCCACATGTGACCTGCACTCACCACAGCCTCACCAAAGGGTAAAAAAACCCCACAGTGTACTGTTGCACATGTGAACAGCCTCATAGTATATAAACCACAGATCCCCATGAATCTCCATGATGCATTAACAACAAAGTGGCTATCAAGTGACAGAACACATCTATGGAGACAAAGGTGACCTCTGAGTTTCTGCTGTTTGGGAAGTGGGAATCTTGTAAAAATCTTTGCCGGAGTGCCATAATTTTGCTCTATGGTCATGCTGGGAAGTGCTAAATGTGCAGTCCCACAGACACTAACATAAACTTCAATCTGATGATGGTTTGGGCAGAATACCATGCACCAATCATGTAAGCTGTTCTAATTTTACTCATTTCCCCAAATCCCATGAAAAAGCAAAAGTTAAGAGTTTATGTATGGGAAGTTTGTGCATATTTTGCCTGGGAGAAATTCACAATGTAAGCCAAACTTTCAAATAAACATGAATAGGACTGGACTACTTTGTGCTAAATCAGAAGAAATCAGCCCAGAGGCAATGGAGATTGTTAAGATAGTATCAACTGCTGGTGCCCCACTTGGCAGCATAAGAAGTTTCTCCCCATCCCAGGAAGGAATGGGATGTTTCCAGTGCCTCCATTCCCATTTGCAATGTGTGGAGAACCTAGGAGGTGATCCAGCTCCTCCCAGTGGGTGTCTGTGGGTGCCATACAAGTGCTTCCAAATAAGATGGAACCCTGTCCAAATTTAGTTTAGTTGTGCTTGAGTAGTTTCCTTCAGCTTGGTCAAACAAACTCAAGGAACTTAAAGCTCTCTTACACCCAGAAATTCAAAACTTTCCTTCAGCTTGGGTTCTGGGAATTCTCTGAAGCCACACAACTTCCAGGGGCTCTTTGCATACTTCCTTCTCATACACGGGATGCAGATGAAACAGATTAAAATAGTTGTAAATGCACCAAAGATTTAAGTGTTTTTCTATAATAAATTAAAGCAAACCTGAATTTTAAAAAAACTGTTGCTATGAACAGTTAGAGAAGCCTGTTCTTAGTGCTGGAATTGCATCCAGTCCAATAACTTAGTTATTTTCTTTGGGATATCATTTCTCCATTCAAGCAATCCAAGGAAAGCATGCACAATAAAACAACAAAATAGAGCTTTAAACATCTTAAGAAACCTGGAAGTTCTATAATATTGTGCAGATCCTTTTGTAATATTATAGTCAGTTTGGTATAGGCAGATAGCTACTCTTCTTTTATTAGACCAATTTCTGTTTATTAGGTATGGGATAAACAACTCTGAAAAGTCTGGAGACATTTCCCAGCTTTTACTGCACTGTTGCCACCATTGTCACCCCACAGAATTTTGTAGGGTGTTATTAAAAAAGAAAAAGAAATCAACAATTTGCAGCAAACTGTGACAGTATGCTACAATGTCCCAATTTGCCACCAAATAAGTGGAATCAGCAGTTTTTTGCTGCCATGTTGGATTTTGAAAGTGCAGTGCTGGAGGCTCTAAGGGCCACACTGGGGGTGGGGGGAGATATGTACCATGTTTGGTGTGTTCTCTGCCTCTGATTTTTAGAGACCTGTTCACACTATTGCAAAAACTATGGTTCATGAAACAGAGAAAAAAATCACAGAAAACTTAAGGCTTGCAGGTCCCTCCTTCTATCATAGACTAGAAGAAAATAGGTCAAAACCACAAGTCCATGTTATATATAACTCAGGGCATTGTTGTATATTCTAAGTAATTTTAAACAAACCAGAATCAAGCCGTCATTTCATATTCTGGACTGGTAACTAACTTTGGTAAGAACAAACCATAGTTTCAAGTCTGGACATAACAGGGAACTGCTCAGAGAAGGAGAGTTGAGAAGAAATGCATTGAAGACTTATGCTGACATCATGAGCCTTGGCACAGCTGACTTACACACCTGATTTCTACAAGATCTTTCAAGGAGGAATCAGGGGATGGCTACAAGCAGCAAGGTAAAGGTGTGAGAAGAGAGCAGAAACTATTCTCAGAGCACAGAAATCAATGAAAAAGGAAGATGTCAAGACATGCCACAGAGTCAACAGGGCCAGATAAGACAGGTACTATTTTAAATATTCCATCTCAGACATCAAAATATGCTACTGCAATTTAGTTACATAACGCAGGTTAAGGAAGAACAGTAAGATTGTTCTGACATGGCTATCAGAGTGACTTGGCAGTGAAGACGTTAAATTTAACAAGCGGTGGTATTTGAGCAATGTAAAATTTATGGGGCAGTAAACACACACACATACCTGAAAGAGCCATCCAGATTTGCTCTGTGAATGAAACTCAGCTTTGCATCAGCCCAATAAAGTTTTTGTTCTTCAAGATCTATGGTGAGTCCATTAGGCCAATAAATGTCAGAATCCACAATTATTTTCCGAACACTGCTGTCCATTCCAGCACGCTCTATTCTAGGTGTCTCCCCCCAGTCTGTCCAATACATGTATCTAGAAATTAAAGTTACAATTATTATGGTGACAAAAAAACAACATTCCTGAAGTTAAATCAAAATTACTTTGAAACTTTAAAAAAAGATGGAATATCAAGCACAAGCACCAGCATTTTCAAGTTCTACTCCTTAATTTCCTGTCTTTAGAACAAAAACTCTATTGCCTCCCATGCACTAGAGTTGAAAACAATCCCCAATTTTTAGCATTGTATACTTGCATAATGGGTCTCTTTGTTTAGACTGGTACTATTAGAGCTTCTAGGTACTATTATATTATGTTAGCAAATATTTCATGAGGTACAAATGGTTATATGCAGTATTGCACTATTCAATTCTTTAACCTATAATCTTATTTCCAGCTGGGATAAGCCCTTTGGCACAAGAAAAAATTATAATTTCATCTAACTATAGCAAAGTGGAACAACTTATTTATTATACCTTTAAACCAACAAATAACCAGAAAATCTGTACAGGTAAATTAAAATATAAAGTCGAAAACACTAAATCACAAAGTAGCACATTGTGAGACTAAAATAGAACCAGCAGTAAGGTGTAAAAACTTAAAAAATCAAAATCAAAGTGAATTCAGGAACACAGAAAACCATGCTAAGACTGAAAACATTAAGAAGAGTTCCTAAAATGCCAGGGAGCACAGAGAAGCACTAGGCAAAGCTCTCTGGAGAGAGCATTCTACAAGCAGTGTTCCACGACTGCCAAAGCCCTCTCTCTTGTAGCCCTCTGCCTCACCCAAGTGGGGGAATGCAAAGAATAAAATCAGATACCACTTCAGGGTCCAGGGCAGAAGATACGGAAGGGGATACTCTTTCATGTAACCCGACTCCTACCTGTTGGAAGGCTTTAGAGCAGGGGTCCTCAAACTTTTTAAACGGGGCCAGCTGACAGGTGCTAGAGGTGGCCCTGGGCCGCCAAGGCAGTGCCGGTGGGGAGGCACAGGCTGGTGTGCGCATGCACGCGCACTCGAGGCAAGACGGAGGGGGCGGCGCGGGGCAAGGTGGCGGCTTGCTCGCGAGATCAATTTCTCCGATCCAGTCGAAAACCATTTCCCCGTGAGCAAGTCGCCGCTGGGTGAGACGCCGACTTGCTCATGAGGAGATTGGTTTCTCCAAGCGTTTCCAAAACGACCTCCTTGTGAGCAAGCCGCATGCGTGCCCAGTGAGTGCAAAACCTGTGGGGAGTGCCGGTTAAAAGGGCATGACAGGCCGGATCCGCGGGCCTTAGTTTGAGGACCCATGCTTTCGAGAGTAAACCAGCACTTTGAATGGGCCAGAAAGGACGGGCAGCCAGTACTAACAACAAAGCAGTGCCAGAATATGATCATATCAACCATTAATCTCTGGCCAGTAATCAGAGAATCAGCTTAGCTAAACTGGACACTATTTATTTATTTTAATTATTAAAAGCTTTTATATCCCATCCCCTACAAGCACCTCACTACAGCAGTCAGTGGGGATAAATGTGCTTCTAATAAAACTAATGAATGCACACGCTCCTGCATTCCTAAATTCTACAGCTACTTGTTGATCCACTGTAGTTGTGACCAAATCAGCCGAAGAAGCTATCTGGAAGTTATGGAAAAAAGGAAGTCATGGAATAAGATGGATGATAAACCTAAAGGTTTCACATTATTATAAGTCCCCATGGCTTAAACAAGCCACTCTAATCAGTTGAACATGCTGGGTGTCATTAGCTCGGGGGAGCTTGTTATGCTGTCCAAACCCAAACAGCACAGCTTATAGTTCAGAAGAAAAAAGGACACTTTCAAAGGTTGATTCCCCCCTTTAAAAAAAGCCACACCACCCAGGTTCAGGATGACATGACAAGGTATGTCCAGGTAAATAATTAGGTTTATGGTGTCTGACATACACCACCAATTAAACAAGCTACAATAGCAAATTCTGATCATGCAAAACAGGTCAAAGTGTTCCTAAGTTAGATCAAACATTCCCTGATTGAACAAGAAAATCCAAACAATATACAAAATCCCTACACAATTCATGCGGTCATTGTAGTCTAAAATATTTCCAGCGAAGCTGAAAGACGGGGGGGGCGGGGGGGAAGCATGGTGGTTTATTATGGAAACACTGACATAATAAATGCACCAAGCAGAATGCTAGCAAATTTCATGGCAGGAGCAACCACCACCACCACCACCACCACCACAAAAACTTACAAGAGGAGACTGCAGATTAAAATAGTTCAGAACAACCCTGTGAACAGTCTCAGAAAAGCCACGGTATTCTCCATGACTGACATGCTCACAAATTTAGTTAAGCACTGTGGTAGAAGCACCAGCTGAGAAGGTCTTTTACAAGCAATGCTGTATTTCACTAATGAATTGTGCCGAGCACAGGGGGAGTGGCGGTAGAATGGGAAGATGAGCAAGGAGCACACAATTTATCCAGATGCCTGCAATTCACGAGGCCTGCTCAGTGCAACCTTCCACCTCCTTACCCCACATCCACAAAAACAAAAAACAAGCAAGTTCCGCAAGGAGCAATAAGTAACTGACGGTCAAATCAACTATAATTATAAGCGGACTTTTAAAAAATAAGAGGAGTTTACATAATAAGAGGAGTTTACAAAATATTACACATCTAATTAATCTATCTTCATGAAGCAACCTGGCACCTAGGAACTCATCTATGGCACTGGGAAAAGTAAAGTACAGGTAACATTTTTACTTCATGGTAGTTCAAGAAGTGTGGCTCAGAAATCAAGCGAATTTCTTATCACCACAGGAAAAGCAGTTGTGTAAGGAACCATGCCATTGCTTTCTCAAGGATGGGCATTTTCTTGCTTTGCTCCAGAAGAAGCAGGCAGCCTTACACTGGATATTGGCAGCCCTATATTTATATATGCATGCATGTATGTATTTATGATATTTATATCTCACCTTTCTTCCTTTCAAGGAATTCAAGGAGGTTTGCATAATTCTTCTGCTCTTCTCAATCTCATCCTTATAACAGCAACCCTGTGAGGTAGGTTGGGCTGAGAATCTGTGACTGGCCCAAAGTCACCCATTTAGCTCCATGGCTGAGCTGAGACTAGAACCCAGATCTCCTCAGTCCCAGTCCTGCTATTAACCACTACACCACACTGGCTCCCAACAGCTTTGGTTGTACCACACTGCACCTCACCAAAACTCCAGTCACACAAATGTCATTTTGAGACAAATTGCACTAATTTATGTATGACTTTATCTTAGGAAACACACGTGGAAGCAGGGTCACAACGCCATGATGATCATTTGAACAAAGCCGTTTTTATGTTGTAGACCAAAATAATAGAATTGTTTCAGAACTGGCTTTCTCTCCACATCCCAAATTTCATGCTTACAAGAAATCATGAGGCAATGTATCTAAAATGTACCTGAAACTTTGCGATCATACCCGCAATCATGAAGTGATCTGCAGTGTACCTGAAATCATGATGTGTACTTTTAATATATTTATGACTCAGAACTCATCCCTACAAAGGGAATGATACAGCCAAAAGCTTACTAGGTATGTGCTGTACTATGCAAAGTATTGGCAAAGGGCTGTTGTTCTCAGCCAAGGCATTCTAGCTACATAATGGAAGCTAGATAAAGGCAGCACAACAAAATCATTCTAGCTGGTGCAGAGAACAGTTTTACTGCTCAGTAGGTCCCAGCAGTTGAGGCTATGTCAGGAAAATGGTGAACTCCTTTGACACATTTGGATAGGACCTACTGAGCAACTGTATCATGCAATCGATTGTGTTTGTTTTTCTGAATGCTTTTGGAGAAGTCTGCAGGAATCTGTTTCAGCAAGAGTCATGATGGGAAAGCGAAAGCTGCAGAGCACGGGGTTCCTGAGCAGGAGGGAAAAGTCAATGAAGTTAGATTTCTAATTCACCTAGCAGATTAAGGAAGGCCCAAAAATACCATTGCCCATTCCTGAAAAACCCCCTTCAGTGTACCAAATGCATAAATGTTAGAAAGTGAACGGCATAAAAAGAAAAAAATATACTGAAATAAGATTTTTTGACAATTTAAGTTTGTTTAATACATGCAGCTCATAGTGATGATATGGAGACTGATCTAGGGGATCAACCACTCACTGCATGACTCTTCATCTCAGTAGTCCTAGGAAAAACTTGAAACCTGCATAGGATATAGCAGGCTCTCCTGGACTACCTCTCTACCAGCAGAACTTCATTTTTCTAAAGACCTACGGCAAATTGTGTTTGACAAAACCATAGCTGACCCTATGACCAATACACTATTTTTCATATTATATTTTACAGTACCCCCAAGTTTTCATATTCCATTATTCCTATATGTTTTTTAAACACACACAAATGAAAATTAATAAAAATAAAAAATGTCTGTTTCTTGTAAGAATTCCTGTCATGAAGTTTCAAGATAAATGTAGCATTCAAAAAAGATCTGTTGCAAAGATGCACATTAGATACACTAGGTCACACTTATTGGTATGGAGCACCAGGTTAGTATTAGAATGTTCAGAATTAATAAAGCCTTGAAATTAACAGATTAATTCTGGCTGAATCTATTAATGCTTAATGATTACTCAGGAATATATAAAGACATTTGCTCCATTCAAGAAACTTGACATCTGTAAGTTTCATTATAAACGAGTTCCCAAAATGTAGGGTTTAACATGGCTAAGCAAGCACACAAAAAGCATGCATTTCAGTAACATTTCATCTGTCAGGCATTTCATCTGCCTTTGTTATTAGAACTACCAGGCTAGATTTAATGTTCTGATAACTATTAAATATTGCAGTTAGAATGCAATGGCTCCAAATTGTTCTAGTTAGAGAAAACCTTAGTATGATATGATAGGTTAAGGTGCGATCCTATGCATCCCTAGGTGGAAGAAGTTCTAGAACTCCCAATATTCCTCAGTCACCATGGCTGGTTGGGTCATATTGTGAGTAGAATGAGTTTTTTTCTGTTCACGCATGCATAGGATTGTACCCTAATTCTCATCATAT